ACAGGCCATTAGAAACTAAAGTAGATACTACTATTCTAATTGTACGTACGGCATGTGTTTTACACAATTTTTTACGAAGTAAAAGTGGCGATGACAAATATTTTCAATTCTTAGATCCCCCAGAACCCGTGCTTGGAGCTTTTACTGATACAGCAAATGATCCTCGGCGGGCAGTAAGGCTAGCATTTTCTACTCGTGACAAATTCGTAAATTATTTTAATTCTGATATGCCTATGCCCAATATATAGAATGTTCGTTTTCACATTTGTGTAGGCTGTAAATTATTTAACAAGTTAAAAAAAAATATTAGGTACATACCATTTGTATTTAATTCTTTTCCTATTTCCATCCAAATCTTGTCTTTCTTTCTCACATTCCTGTATTCATCGTTCGACAAATCATACAAACAAGGATACTTTTTCACTATTTCTATCAATAATTCCGTTTTTGCCATTGCGAATTTTTGAAGAACGGCGTCAAAAACGCGGTCAAAGGCGAACTGAAATACGCCGCGATAAAAACGCTGGAACAATCGCATTCGCTTCGCACAAGTCTGACCCTGTCCGTAAACCGCCGCATTTTAATCTGATCGTTAATTCGTCGCCGCGAAATTTTCGCAGCCAAAGCGAATATTTCGCGCCGGTTTGTGGGATGCTTACAGATTCATTTTGTACTTGCTAACAACTCTTTCACTTCGAAAAGTTCATTTGTGTACAAAAAACAAAACGCTAAAAACAAGTTTTACTAGACTTACACCCGATGCCATTATTGCCAACGTCCCAGACTAACACAAAAATGTCACTTGCTGATCACCTATTCACCTCACTAGACGTCAAAGCGTGATGGATACTCGTGAAATAGAGTAGGTGTACAGTTTCCCCTACGCAGCTCGTCCCTAGCGAATTATACCTTTTCGTTGTCAGTGATGACAGATATGAAAATGACGTCAAAACTGTAGGAAAATCAAACTCTTTTTTATACCGAAGCAGCCGCGCAGGCACAAGCCTAAATCCCAGGGCACCGCGGCTGCTATGATGATCCCAAAGAAAATGTATAAATATGATTTTTGAACTGTCTAAGGCTAGTAGAACTGGGAAAAGCTTCCTGTTGTAGATTGTTCCACAATCTGGACACCCTCGGAACAAAGGAGCAGTCGTATCGGCCATGTTCTGGATGTACGAAATTCGACACGGACTAAACAGCATCGAGCATAAACAATTTAGTTGGGGCGGCAGCACCCTAAACGTGGGAGCAATACTCGAGGCTAGGCCTTACCTGAGTCTTGTATAGAGAGAGGTCATGCGGAAAAAAGTTCTTCCTAGCCCTAAACAAATAGCCTAGCTTTTTCCCAGCAGATGCCGCTATTGACGAGATGTGTTCGTGCCAGATCAGGTCCTCGGTGATCTGAACTCCGACCAGCCGAAATTAATGGCTCTTTGGCCTAACTCGGCCATCCATCGAAACCGGATGACCGCTAGGCGGCTTTTTCTTCGTCAAAGTACAGTACTGTGTTTTAGAAGCATGAAACTGTACAAGATCGTTGCGTCTCCAAGCAAAGATAACCTCCAGGTATCTCTCCAAAGAGGAAGTCGTCGCTAGTCTCGTTTTTTCCAGCTCAGCGGCAGAGATCGGCTTGTCACTCTGAATTCCTGCATGTAGAGTGCTGTCATCAGTGAAGCTGTAGATTCGGTTGATCGTGCAGGGAAGGAGGTCGTTGATATATGGGGTTGTCCAAAACGGACGCACGAAAGTAAACGCATATTAAAACAAGAAAGATTGATATTCAAATCAAGTTGGGTACTTTATTTTGAAGGTTCATTTATACCATTTATGTATGAAAAATAATATCGCTCAAATGTTCACCACGACTGGATTTACAGACGTCCACGCGATGGTCGAAATTTTCAATGACATTTTGCAACATGGTCGGTTCTATGGCATTTATCTCGGCAATGATGTTGTTTTTGAGTTCTTGGAGGGTGGCTGGTTTGTTGACGTAGACTTTGCTTTTCAAATATCCCCATAAAAAGAAGTCCAAGGGAGTCAAATCGCACGATCTTGGTGGCCATGGCACATTTCCTCTGCGCGAAATCACGCGATCACCGAAGAAGGACTGCAATCGATGGATATTGACGTTGGTTGTGTGGCATGTTGAACCGTCTTGTTGGGAATAAACATCGTCCATATCCATTCCTTCAAGTTGCGGCAAAAAATAGTCCTCTATCATCACGAGATATCGCTCAGAATTGACGGTAACGGCGTCCCCGGCCGATGATGCCTTTTGACCACAATGCACACCACACAGTCACTTTTTGAGGATGCATCGGCTGCTCTTGATACTCACGGGGATTTTCGTTTGCCGAGATGCGGCAGTGTTGCTTGTTTACAGTACCATTCAAAGTGAAATGCGCTTCGTCGCTGAACATGATTTTTGATGGAAAATTGGCATCAATTTGGCGTGTTCAAGGAGCCAATCTGAGAACGTTCGGCGCAAAAAATGGTCGGCCCGTCGCAGCTCTTGCGTCAATTGGATCCTGTAGGCGTGTACATTCAAATCCTTGTGGAGAATGCGGAGCAAACTGGTTCTCGAAATGCCCAATTCTTGGGACCGACGCGTTGTTGATTGTTTCCGATCGTCTCTCACACTCTCCTTCACAACAGGAATATTTTCCGGTGTGCGAACGCTCCTTGGCCGGCCAGATCCTGGCAGATTTGCCACAGAACCTGTTGCCTCGAATTTACGCACCAGACGACCGATGGCTGTTTCGTTTGGGCGGTTGTTGCGACCGAAATGTTCACGAAGCGCGCGAAACGTGTTTTTTATTTTTGCACCATTTTTGTAGTGCTCTTGAATAACTTTAATGCGGTCTTCAATCGAATACGACTCCATAGCGATCAATGGTAAACATTCAACTAACCAAATGACATGTCGGTGACAGAAAACAAAGATGTCGTCTATGTCAAATTGACGTTTACTTTCCTGCGTCCCTATTGGACAACCCTTAGAGGAATAGTGTCGGAGCCAAGACCGATCCCTGGGGAACACCCGCGTTGGCGTTATGGGAGCCACCCATCTGCAAAGATTTTCTGTTAGGCCATAGGATGGAAGCTTGCTTAAGAGGGCAGCGTGCCACAGCTAATCGAACGTTTTCGTGATGTCAAGAGCAACGACATGAGCCTCACCAAAAAACTAGATGCGTTTACTCCATAATTGCGTGACGTAAGCTAGGAGGTCCCCTGTGGATCGTTGGTGCCGGAAACCGTACTGCCTGTCGCTAATCAAGCTGTGACGTTGGAGGTACTTATAACAGAAAGCAGAGCTATAGGTCTGTTGTTGTAAGGGTCGGTCTTAGGTCCTTTTTTTGGTATGGGTTGGATAAGAGTATACTTCCAGTTTTCTGGAAGGTGCATGGAAGAGACGCGAAAGAACTGGAGCAAGCTCCGCTGCACACCAGTACAATGACAGGAATCAAGTCCGGACCAGAAGCTTTGTTAATGCCAAGCGACAAGAGCACTCGTCTTACGGTCTTGCGCCTAAATGTTACATTTCGCATAGTGTAGGAAACCCTTTGAATTGACGGCACCTTGGCGTTGGGGGGGGGGGACGTCCATGGTGGAGTTGGCAGCAAAGATCTTGGCAAGCACTTTCGCGTTGGCCTTTGAGTCGGATACAATATTTTTATCCTGACACGTAACTGGCGGAAGGCTTCTGTGTGAGAAGTTCTTTTCAACTAGCTTGGCCAGCATCCAGAGAGACTGCCATTGCGCTGCAACATTACCCTGTGAGTAACTTTTATATTATGCTGGTTTTTGGAATTGCGAACCGCCTCGTTATATTTGTTTCTGGACTCGACGTCGGCTTGTCTGTGCTCTACAGTGGGGTTTTGTAAGAAGGTTTTCTCTGCCTTGATCTTCTGCTGGCGAGCAGTGTCACACGATTTGTTAAACCAGCCGCTGGGCCCTGATTTAGGCACTTTCACTGTATGAGGGATGTACTCCTCCATTACGACGTGGATTATTGCGGTTATCGAAGAACAGACAACCGGCGCATCCACGTCAGTGAAACAGACATATCTCCAAGGAAAGGTAGAGAACAAGTCTCTGAGCCCCTCCCAGTCGGCATGTCCATAATGCCAAGTTTTGCGGCCTGTACGAGTTTCTGCTGCCACAGCGGGTTGTGACCGAAACCTAACCTCCACAACACCGTGGTCTGAGTTACCCAGGGGGGACAGGACAGCAGTGCTGTAAGGGACAGGTTGCGTGTGACGAGACGCGGAGGAAAAAAGTAGGGCTCATCACCAGCTGGGTCAGCCCTTGAGTAAGAGCGAACGCTTCGACTACACGACCTGCTGCAGCGGTCTTGTGTGAGCCCAACCAAAGCTCATTATGGGCACTGAAATTACCGAGAAGAACTACCTCTGAAGCGGGGTGATTGATGTTCAGGAAGTCGATTTTGACGCCAAAGTATTCGAGTAGGTCATCCCAGTTATGGTCCGAGGGAGGTCGATAAAGGCAGCAAATAAATTTGGGGGATGATTAGAAGTTGAAGCGAAGCCTCAGAGTGTCCTTCCGGTCTGATTCCAAAGAAACATCTCTGGAACAGGAAAGACTGCTGCGGACAAAAGCCACAACTCCCCCGTTCTTTCTCAGATTAGAGTGCACCTCGTAATTTGGGAAGCTAAGATGGTTAATCGGTCCAGACTCTGAAATTTTTGTCTTTTGAAAAGCATGGCGGGATTGGATTGCAATTAGTGGTAAGCAGCATCAAGGTTGCTGTTAGTCTCGCAGATGTTAGCATAAAACAGATTTGTAAATTACTTGAATCTCTCCATATGATATGGAAGAAAGAAAAAACTAAAATATTGCATCTTCATTGGAAAGCTCGTAGTCCTCCATGTCCAAATATCGCATCTTCATTGGAAAGCTCGAAGTCCTCCATGTCCAAAGGGGATGACAGTTCTAGATACGTAAGGGACACAGGTTCGAGAAAAAAGGAAGAATCTTTACTCAACAGCCTTTGTTCAACAATAGTATATTGCTTTTTTATAATTTTGATACACAAAGCATTAATCGTGTCTATTCAACAAATTCGTCTGGTGGAAGTCCTTTAGCGTTGATTCCAGTAACTCTGAAGGTACAACCTTCCAATGGTCCTGGAGTTGGGCTGAATCTGGCGGTGGTCACATATAACTCATCGAAATTGTCACCTCCAAATGCGACAGATGTCACCTAAAAAGTAATTTTAAGTCATTAACAAAACATACTACAGCTCTCTATTACTTTGAAAACTTGGATGAAAGTCAGAAAAGCAACTGGCTCAAAGGCTACCGTGATATAAGATACGACGCGCATAAGTATTCAATATGTCGTGTAGGTAAACCGGGTGTTTTGTTTATAAGTTGGATTTGAAAGAACTGAAGGAATTTCGAATGAGTCGATATTATATTATTCAGAACAATCACACGATGAAGTCATAAATGCTTTTTATGCATATAATAATGCCTTTATTACCTCGACCATACTGGAGGGCGAAGATTAACCAGCTGGCTACTCTACCACTTAACCTTACATCGTAGAAAAATGCATACAAAACAATTAACATACACTTAAAGAAATTAACAAGATCATATTTACAAGGTAGGTAAGGATAAGATAAGCTGTTTGAAAACAAGACTATGTATAAGCACTAACAGAAGAAAAAAATAACAAATATAGAAATAAAATAAATGAATAAGACAGGACCAACAATATGCTATAAGTAAGGTATCATCTGACTGTAATGTGGTATCCAGAAGTGCGACTGAACCAAAACTTTATTGACTAGTTTGGCTAGCAGATCAAAGAAGATGGTTCTAGATGGCTTTTTTGAATGCTACTACACCGTTGCTTTTGAGCTTATCATTAAGAGCATTATACATTTTCACATCATTGTAGGTGAAGCTACGATCGAAAATATTAGTGTTATAACTAGCTATGTTGAATACGGAGTAATTCCTGAGATTTCTGTAATTAAGATCGCCACGTGGTACAAGCTTTTTTGGAAGATAGGTAGATACCTTACTGTATCTGATTCTTTGGAATATACATTTTCGACTATGCAGGGTGTTTCAGTTTATTGTTGCATAACATTAAGATTCGACAGAACTTTTAAAATTAATGCATAAAGCCTATATAAACATGGGTCGAAAAATGCGTGGCTTCCGAAATACAGGGTGTTTAAATTTACTTTCTAAAATAGTTTTTTTTAAATATTTCAAACAATATTTGATGTATAACAGTGAAAATTGGTATACAAGGGTTTTTTGGTACGACAAAACGAACCATGGGCATAGTTTTACTGTAGCCGCTAGAGGGCGCTCTCTACTGTACCTGCAGTGTATTGAAATGAGCGAAAAAAATTTCTTAGTGCAATTTTTTGCTTTTTGAATAAAAAATCTGATTCTTCGCACTTTTCAACATAAAAAAGCTTTCTTGTGAATTTTCGTTATAGTTAGCTGTTTTTGAGATATTTCGATTTTTAAGGTTCTGTGCATTTTTAATTATTTATGATAAAATAACATTAAAAAGTCAGTATCTCGATAAATTTTAAATGTAGGCTGTGCCTGCAAATATTTTTGAAATTGAAAGCAGAATAAGGTTAAACGTCAATTAGTTGACAGTTAGTTTTGTTGTCTGTTGAAACCTGAAACGTTTTTTTGCAATTGTGAATGCACGAAATTTAGTTTCTTTTACCTGTTTTTTTTTTGTAAGTTTTATAAAAATGCCATTTTTATTCTCCAATCAAGAGTTAGCGGATATTCATTTTGTGTAAGGCTTTGTAAATTGAAACGCAGCAGAAGCAGCCAGAGAATACGCACGAAGATTTCCAAACAGACGACATCCAACTCGCTCAGTATTTGTAAGAGTGCATCGCTAAATAATTGAAATTGGTTTTGGAAATCTCCAAAGGGATCAAAACATAAACGTTCGTCAGCGCAGATTTACCCGTATGATTCTGCGTGAGTTTGATAGAGATCCGGCCACAAGTGTTAGGAGAGTTTTTGGTGCCTTGGGAATTTCAGCAAGCCATGTTCACCGTATTCTTAGAAATGACCATAGACGTCCTTACCATTTGCAACCTGTGCAAGGACTATAGCCAGGGGACGGAGAACGAGGAATCACATTTTGTCAGTGGATTCTTGATAGAACTGATAATAATAGGGAGTTTTTAAGTAACGTTTTGAGGACCGATGAGTCATGCTTCACTAGACGTGGAGTGGTAAATTTTCATAATCAACATATTTGGTCGCATGAAAATCCGCATGCAGTTCGGGAAAGAAATTTTCAGCATGAATTTAGTGTGAACGTGTGGATTAGTATCTACCGTAATCGACTATTTGGACCCTACCTTTTGCATGCAAGGTTAAATGCTGCGACCTTCTTGGAATTTTTAAAGGCTGATCATGCAAATATGTGGGATGATGTTATGTTAAATTTAAGAAGATGGGCCTGGTTCCAGCTTGATGGTTGTCAAGCTCATTATTCGAGAATAGTTAGAAACTGGCTGGACGAAAATTATCCAGAAAGCTGCATCGGCCATGGACGACCAGTCGCCTGGCCTCCACGATCCCCTGACCTAAATCCATTAGATTTCTTTGTGTGGGGATTTCTAAAAGAAAAAGTGTACCAGACTCCCGTAACCACAAGCGATATGCTAATAGACAGAATCAGGAATGCATGTGATGAAATAAGGCCTTATTTGAATAATGCTATACCACGTTCGATCATTCGTAGATGTGAATTGTGTATTGAACAATTGGGTTTACATTTCGAGCAACTACTTTAGATTTTGTATGTTTGTCCTAACTATCCAATAGCATTTTAGTTGTAAATAATTAATTTAATTTGTTTAAAATAATATTGGAAAATTAAACAAATTAATATTCTGTTTCTTTGTGTTTATTTGGAGTTAGGAATTATTGTTGCGTTTAAAAACACAATCTAAACGATCATCTTAATTACTTGTAATGCCCAAATCGAAAATGTAAAAAAAATATTATTTTCCCATAAATAATTAAAAATGCATCGAACCTTAAAAATCGAAATATCTCAAAAACGGCTAACTATAACGAAAACTCATAAGAGAGCTTTATTATGCAGAAAAGTACGAAGAATCATATATATTATTGAAAAAGCAAAAAATTGCACTAAGAAAAAATTTTCGGTCATTTTAATACACTACAGGTACAGTAGAGAGCGCCCTCTAGCGGCTACAGTAAAACTATGCCCATCGTTCGTTTTGTCGTACCAAAAAACCCTTGTATACCAATTTTCACTGTTAGACATCAAATATTGTTCGAAATATTTTAAAAAAAACTATTTTAAAAAGTAAATTTAAACACGCTGTATTTCGGAAGCCACGCATTTTTCGACCCATGTTTATATAGACTTTGTGCATTAATTTTAAAAGTTCTATCGAATCTTAAAGTTATGCAACAATAAACTGAAACACCCTGTATATCGATATCTAAGCAATCGATCATTACGTAAGTTGATGGGGGTCTTTATTCTGAAGTTCAAAAACGGTTAAAGAAGGAAGTAAAAAAATCGTACATGTGGAACGGGCATCTCGATGGTCTGTAGCAGCTTATCCGGTACTCTAGGATCAATCTGGATAACTCGGGATCCGTTGAAGACTGCTACCCAAAGGTTGCCATTAGAGTCGATAGTCATTCCATCAAAAAGACAATGATCCAAACCATGGGTGCTACGGTTGCAAATAGGTTGAAGGTTGGCTAAAAAAAATATTGTGCATTTAATATGAACGACTGTTCTGAACATATACTAAGTGACATATAAATCCGAACACTCAGTTTAAATGGTTTTATTTTAATAAAATTTTGTATAAGTACTTAATGAAGCATAATAAGTAAATGATAAAAATTTCAAAATGATTGCACTGCTTTAAAGCTCTTTGACCTTTAATAATGTGTGGATGCACCCTGATGTGCTACGCATTCTCCAACGCGCCTAGGCATGCTTCTGATCAGGTGGTCAATGTCCTCCTGTGGTATCTCATTCCAGGCAACCACCAACTCCTCTCGAAGTGCTTCTAGAGTCTGAGGAGGACGTTGCAAATTGAGCAATCTCCTACCCATCATATCCCACACGTGCTCAATTGGGGATAAGTCGGGAGATCTTGGTGGCCATGGCAACAATGTGACATCATTATGTTGAAAGAAGTCTATTGTGACTCTTGCAACATGTGGTCGGACATTATCTTGTTGGAAAGTTGGATCTGCCAGGGTGTCAAGATAGGGTAAAAGATGGGGTTCTAGAACTTCGTGGATATAACGCTGCGCGTTCATGTTACCTCTGATGAAGATTAAAGGTGACCTGGAACCATAAGCTATAGCACCCCAAACCATAACTCCAACAGTGTGATGAACATGTCTTTCAACAAAAAACTGTGGATTCCTCCTTTCACCACGTCGCCTTCTAACCCTGGCACGACCATCGTGCATGCCTAAACAAAATCGAGACTCGTCACTAAAGACAATACTGTTCCATTCCTGATCCCAGAGTGACCGTTGTCTGCACCACTCAAGGCGATTACGTCGGTGTTCTCGAGTTAAAGGGAGGACCCAGTGTGGCCGGTATGAAAACAAGCCAAAACTTCTCATTCGTCGGTAAACACTTCGCATGCCAATAGGTCTTCCGTGTTCTGCAAACCATTCATTTGCAATGGAGCTGGCAGTGGAGAAACGGTCCCTTAAGGCCAATAATCTTAGGCGGCGATCTTCCCGGTCTGTTGTTCTACGGCGGCGTCCAGTGCCCTTGCACTTTGCGTACGGCCTTCTCGAAGCCATGCCTGACAACACATAACCACAGTGTCTACACTTCTTTGCACTCCAACTGCAATTGCCCGAAAAGAATGTCCAGCTTCCCGAAGTCCCACTATACGGCCCCTATCAAACTCACTAAGTTGACGAAATCGTACAGGTCTCCGTACCCTAGGCATCGTAACCGATCGTAAAGGATGTCAAGAACCAAAATCCGCCAACGTTGATTCTTTACTGCTGCTGAAATATTCATTTTTAGAGCGTTAGTGAATTAAAAAAAAAGCAGTATAAAAACCGGAATGACCAACTGATAAGGCTGAACAATTTTTCACTTGTTATTTACAGTAAGATAAATACATTCACCAACTTTTATTAAAATAAAACCATTTAAACTGGGTGTTCGGATTTATATGTCACTTAGTATAATAATGCTTTATTTGAGTGAGCCTGTGAACAGGATACAATACGTCAAAAAAATCGAAGAAGTGAATAACTAATACATAACATGAAAAATTTTGGATACAGAAACATAGGTATATAAGGATAAGTTACGTGCACAAAAATGCATTTGCACTGTAAAATGCCTCATTCAGCAAGAGGTACCTCAGTTTACTTTTAAACAAAGATGAGCTAATAATCTGCTTAACATCTAAAGGTAGTTTATTATAAATGACACCACCTAAATATATATGTCTTGCAAAGTGGTGCCAAAAAGCAACAAACACCCTTTATACTTACACAGCGTTCCAGTTGTAAAGTCGATGTCATACTGATCAACAGTACCGGCAAATGAATCAATGTAGTACATCTTGTTCCGCTTGGGGTCAAAGGCCAACCCATTGGCTATACCTATCTCCCTCCTATGGCTTTTCACTGTTTTCTTTTCGATGCTGTACAGTGTGCCTTGTTTCTCAGGAATGTTCAGGTCCGTAGCTTTCTTTCCCATTGTACCTGAGGAAATTAAAATTTTTACACGTTATAAACGTAAACTAATCATTAAAATATAACTATGCAATAGGAGCGTATATAAAGTTTTCAAACCTTCTCATAAAGTCTCCTCTAAGTCCAAACAAGCACATAGGCGCTCGCAAGAATTTTTTTAAGAGTCGCAGACCTTCGGCAAGAGACAAATTTTTTGTGAAAGTGTACCTGCCTCAGAAACCTTTTGAAGATTGGGGGCTAGTAAAATCCTAGAAATCTCCAAAACTGTACACACAATTATATATGCAAATTGTGAGGTCCAACCGCACAATTAGGGGGGGATCACGACCCTTTTGGACGCCCATGGACAAGCGTCTCAATATTTTTATATCCCATCAGTTACGACCTATATCTTGCGCCGTAGAGGACGCCGGCTACCAATATGCAAAGCTTCTCTGGGCGGTCAAGAACTCCCCAAGAATCAGCTTATCACTCTGATTATGTCGAGCACTAGAGGTCTGTCCGATATGACCACTCCTTTGTATCTGAGAGTTGTTGAGATTACGAAATAATCTGCTTTAATAGCTTCTTTCCAGTTCTACTAATCTTAGGCAGTTTGAGACTCGGACTAAGCCCGGTAACAGCCAATTTCTACATGGAAAGGTTCGAGGAAGCAGCGCTGAACACCGCTCCCAATCGTCCAAGTTGTTGGTTACGTTATGTGGATGATACCTTCGTGGTATGGAGCCACGGAAGAACAGAACTAGCAGTGTTGGTATTCGCTTTGTAGCCGCAATACATTTTGAACTTGTAAAAACCTGAGGCTCGCAGTCTCAGAGCTTCGCTACCTTGCACTGACTTGTTCAATTCGTCACTCTATAAATACGAATGTGGGACAAATACGTCTATTCGTTTCCTGAATCTTGAAAAGGAAAGTGCTAAGAAAATATTTTAAAAAATATAAACAGATAGTATATCACACAAATTATAGTGAGTCAGTGTTATTTTGTTTGAGAGTGCTGGAGAAAAGTAAGTACATTATTTTTTTTAAAATTTTAGTTTTGTACTCGTAGTTAGCAAAGATAGATAAATTACGCCAATCATGACTTTAGTTATTAGTAGTTAAATATTCAATCATGCAAACTTACACGAGTACTCCTCAATATTTTCTTTTTGAAAGTTTTAGCAATCGGTAATATAATTACAGTGCAATCTCCGTAATTCGAGCTAATTGTTGCAAGAAGATGTTCGAATAATGGATTGTTTTCGGAAAAATCAAAAAATATTTTTAATATACAGCTGCTGGATTTTCTGTCTTATTTAAATAATTTAATTTTGCCCACAGATGACTGATGCCATGTCCGAATCTAAAAAGAAATGTAGACAGTACAGTGTTGATTATTTGAAATTTGGCTTCATTCCATCATTGCCGGACAAACAAGTTTTGGGCAATGACGCTATGAAACCATCTAAACTGCAAGATCATCTGAGAAGATGCCACCCTGATAAAACAGAGAAAGATTTGAAATACTTTCAAATACTCAAAAATAAATTTCAGAAGAGACCTACACTAGACAGAATGTTCGCTTCGATGTCACAAAGAAATGATGATGGTTTGCGGGCGTCTTACAATATCTCGTTACTTAAAGCAAAATCCGGGAAACCGCATACTATCGGAGAGAAGTTAATTTTGCCAGCCGTTGAAGAGGTTTTAAAAACTGTTTTACACAAACCTGCATCTGATATCATTAAAAGAATTCTCTTAACCAACAATACTGTTGAAAGACGTATTGATGAAATGAGTTCTGATATTGAAAGCTTCTTATGTAATTATTTGCAAACGACCCATTTCTCTATACAACTGGACGAGTCAACTTTACCTGATAATGCAGCATTGTTATTGGCATATGTTCGTTTTATTATGAATCAAGAAATCTACGAAGAACTGCTCTTCGCAAGAACTTTGATAACCGACACTAAAGGTGAATCAATATTATTTCATGTTTTGGGGGATTACTTCATTGAAAAAGCAATTCCTTTATCAAATATGATATCAGTAGCTACAGATGGAGCACCTGCCATTGTTGGACGTTATCGTGGATTTATAAGCTATTTAAAACAAAATGTGTCAGGGGTGTTAGCAATACATTGCGTCATCCATCGACAACATTTAGTTGCTAAAAATTTGAGTGTTAGATTGCATGAATCACTTCATTTAGTCAGTGATGCAGTAAACCGAATCCGAAGCAACGCGCTGAATACGCGGTTATTTGCGCAGTTGTGTGAAGAAAATGACGAACACTTTCATCAGTTACTCCTTCACACTGAAGTACGCTGGCTGTCGAAAGGCTTATGTTTGACAAGATTTTTTGCACTTTTTGAGACTATTTTAGAATTTCTGGATACTAAAGATAACATTTTAAAAGAAAATTTAATGAAGAGGAAAACAGACATCGCCTATTTAACAGATTTGTTTACAAAATTTAATATGGTTAATTTGCAATTACAAGGAGACAGTTTAAATTTAATTAAAACAAAGTTCATCTTATCAGCGTTTCTTGCCAGAGTTAAACTAATGAAGCAAAATATTGGACGGGGCGAATTTTCTCAGTTCCCCAGTTTGTCACAGACAAGCTGCCAGGAAGACGACGTTTCAACTTACGTTCAACATTTAAATGCCCTCTATTCAGATTTTGAATCTAGGTTTGAGGATATGTTGACTCACCGTGGATAATTAATCCATATGGTGACATGGAAGAAACGAATGTCATAATACAAGAGGAACTGACTGAACTAAGTAGAAACGAAGAACTTAAGGTTCAGTTTAAAAACGGATATCAGCAATTCTGGCTGCAAAACAACATACCCGTTACATATCCCGTATTATGGAATATAGCGAGGAAATTTTTAATTTCCTTTCCATCGTCATACCTAGTGGAAAGGGGGTTCAGCGCTGTTACCAATCTCCTAACGAAAAAAAGAAACAGACTGGACATCATTAGCCGAGGAGATTTTAGATTAACCCTTACAAAATTGACGCCAAATGTTGATAATTTATTATTAAAGCATCAGGTTCATCCTTCTCACTAAAAATATTGACTTATTGCTTATGTTATTTTATTTATAGTTTATTTTATACTAAGTGACATATAAATCCGAACAACCAGTTTAAATGGTTTTATTTTAATAAAATTTTGTATAAGTACTTAATAAGTAAATGATAAAAATTTCAAAATGATTGCACTGCTTTAAAGCCCTTTGACCTTTAATAATGTGTGGATGCACCCTGATGTGCTACGCATTCTCCAACGCGCCTAGGCATGCTTCTGATCAGGTGGTCAATGTCCTCCTGTGGTATCTCATTCCAGGCAACCACCAACTCCTCTCGAAGTGCTTCTAGAGTCTGAGGAGCACGTTGCAAATTGAGCAATCTCCTACCCATCATATCCCACACGTGCTCAATTGGGGATAAGTCGGGAGATCTTGGTGGCCATGGTAACAATGTGACATCATTATGTTGAAAGAAGTCTATTGTGACTCTTGCAACATGTGGTCGGGCATTATCTTGTTCGAAAGTTGGATCTGCCAGGGTGTCAAGATAGGGTAAAAGATGGGATTCTAGAACTTCGTGGATATAACGCTGCGCGTTCATGTTACCTCTGATGAAGATTAAAGGTGAGCTGGAACCATAAGCTATAGCACCCCAAACCATAACTCCAACATGTCTTTCACCAAAAAACTGTGGATTCCTCCTTTCATCACGTCGCCTTCTAACCCTGGCACGACCATCGTGCATGCCTAAACAAAATCGAGACTCGTCACTAAAGACAATACTGTTCCATTCCTGATCCCAGAGTGACCGTTGTCTGCACCACTCAAGGCGATTACGTCGGTGTTCTCGAGTTAAACAGAGGACCCAGTGTGGCCGGTATGAAAACAAGGCAAAACTTCTCCTTCGTCGGTAAACACTTCGCATGCCAATAGGTCTTCCGTGTTCTGCAAACCATTCATTTGCAATGGACCTGGTAGTGGAGAAACGGTCCTTTAAGGCCACTAATCTTAGGCGGTCTGTAGTTTTACGGCGGCGTCCAGTGCCCCTTGCTCTTTGCGTACGGCCTTCTAGAAGCCGTGCCTGACACCACCTAACCACAGTGTCTACACTTCTTTGCACTCTAACTGCAATTGCCCGAAAAGAAAGTCCAGCTTCCCGAAGTCCCACTATATGGCCCCTATCAAACTCACTAAGTTGACGATATCGTACAGGTCTCCGTACTCTAGGCATCGTAACGATCGTAAAGGACGTCAAGAACCAAAATCCGCCAACGTTGATTCTTTACTGTGGCTGAAATATTCATTTTTAGAGGGTTAGTGAATTAAAAAAAAGCAGTATAAAAACCGGAATGTCTAACTGATAAGGCTGAAAATTTTTTCACTTGTTATTTACAGTAAGATAAATACATTCACCAACTTTTATTAAAATAAAACCATTTAAACTGGGTGTTCGGATTTATATGTCACTTAGTATATGTTTATTGGTGTCTGACCAATAAATGCCCGCATTGGGAATAAGTGCCCGCATTGATTTTTTTAAAGAACCTCCCTTTATAGAAAATATTTTTTTTAAAATTATTCTGAATATTCAAGGATAGGTACACACTAAAATTCATTAAATTTTTGCCTATTTTTAGATAACTTAAACGTATAAGAAGCGGAATTTAATCAAACTAACAGTGAAATTATTGTAGAACATACGTTTATGTTATAATTAATAAACGAACTCGCTTATTGTACTATCTTAAGTAAAAAACTTTTTTTTTTATTATTTTTCACTTTTTTTTTATTTTATCCCTCTTATTTTTTTTCAATGCGGGCACTTATTCCCAATGCGGGCACTTATTGGTCAGACACCTGTTTATTTAATGTTACGTATATTTTACATTACAGATATAAAATTTTATTTTGAGTAGTTTTAATTTAAATTCAATTAATAAATGTATAAATTAACATGTGTTTTTACTTTAAGTTTTTAACACTAAACTTCACTACAGTTAGAAATTTACAGGAAACCAATATCAGGTAAGTAGGGGGTCTACCCAACACGGAAAAACATGGCAAGGGGTCTACGACACAAAAAAGTTTGGGGAACTCTGCTCTAGACCAAATCCAACCCGACCACGGCTCAACAGCCCGAAAAACCTAAATTACAAAAGAGTTCAACCTTGTACTTCCTATTTCATAGGTTACAGCTCAAACGGCTTGATAGATTTTCACATATGTGTGTCTTATCGATGCGAGTGACACAAGCTACATTTGAATATTATACAAAACAAAATCGCGGATTTAAATAAAAGATTTCAACCTAGTAATTCCTATTTAACGGCTTCCTAGCTCCACAATAGAGCGTATCGTCACTTTACTATAAACACAAGTTAACTCATAACATTAATACTGCACTACATTTATCCTTATTTCACAGAGCATCCTAAGTACATGTAAGTGTGAAAATGAACGCAGCAACTCGAAAGGTAAAAAAATGGAATTATCTTTTTTTTGCAGTAAGCTGGCGGTTTAACAATAAATGGAAATGACTTAGTCTAAGCAACAGTATTTGACCATTTCCTTTCATAAATTTTTCTAGTCTTTCAAACTTTTATTCAGTTCTTAGTTCTGGAAGACCATCCTTGACCTGAAAAATAGTTATTTAGCTTCAACAGAAGTTCGCCTATAAAATTTTGCTTTTCTGTCACTATTCCGTCCCCATTGAATGTAGTAAACAGTCCTTGTTCAGCATCTCAATTTGATTCATGAAAGCTGTGGAAGGTTTTGATAATCCACCCTCACTAAGAACTTTTTAACCTCCCACCCTGCAATTTATGGCAAACAAAGCCACTAAATTTTCCAGCCCGTGATACTCGAGCACATCTATTTCTTCCACTAAGACTTCCTCGTTATAGTCAGCTGATACTTCAGGTGCATTCAGTTTATTCGTTAATGATGCGGTTAGTGAAATGTCTGGAGTATCCTCTGACTCTACGCTTCAAAACTCTTAGTATGCGCCTTCGTTTCGCCCCAAAATATAGGACCTTATTCTATACTTAAAACTCTAGGGGACTTGGATATGTTCATGAAGACCACCTTTTGCACTAATTACTGCGGAAGAGTTTTCTATCACATCTTGATTAAGACGTCTTGTTAACAGGTATTGGATGCTGAAGCTGAATTTTCCGTAGGAGAGGCATCATCTTTTAGAGCACGATATCACCCAAAAGGGCATATTTCAAACTGACCTTATAGGCACTTTCACAAAAGTGCTTCGAGCAAACCCTACCGCTTTTTACATTGACTTTGTATTTTCTTTTTGTAAGATGCAGCCATTCTTTGTTAAGGTTTGGGTCTCGAGGAAAACTGTGGAACTTCATGTCTTTGCAAGGATTCCGTTCAGATTGATTGACGGAATGACATCCCACAACAGCACACCACATTTTTATCAAATTACCAACCGCACAGTGTATAAGTACGTATAGCTAATACCACAAGTCACAAAACCACCAAAAATCACCAACAAATCGCACTATATAGTATTAACCACGATACAAGTACACTGCAGTAACGTTACAATAATCCTGCCGCTGATAATCACGAGCCGACAACTCTCAAGGTGACGTCACGAAGCTCCGCCCACATGCGCAACTTCCTATCTTCAGTGTATGTGTATCGTGTGTTGTACGTTCCGGTCCTAACGCAGGTACCAATGATTTCAAATATCACTTTACCAAAAAGGGCAGGTACTTAAAAATGGGACGTGCTAGGCCATTGCTGGGGAAAAACGTTTTAATAACTTCTTAAGTGAAACGCAAAATACGCATTCTCATCGATGTTACCGAAATTATGTCGATAATTTATGCAGTAATAAGTAATGGTTGATTCGGTTAAAGGCTTCCTCTATAACTGTCTAAGTTACATCAATCTAGCCTTGCTGATCCTTGAAAGGGTCATAAATATGCTCATAGATAATTATCTCGAATAATTTTCCAAAATTACTCAAAGTAGCAATCTGACGGAAGTTCGTAATATCAGACATAACACTCCTTGTGAAATCAGGGCATACTTTAGATATCTTCCATATTTGCGAAAAAGAACAGGTGCGTACCATCAGATTGAAAATAACAGAAAGCGGTCTAGCAAGAGCGTGAATGCAATCTTTGGCTATGAAGCTAGGAATATTATCCACTTCTTATCCTTTAATTTTCTAGCTGCAAGAATGATATCATTTATATAAATAATATATAAATATACAGAAGGGGGACGGCGCCCATGAAGTCACAGTGTTCCAAGAACCCTGCATATCAATAAAGGAGTTACTAACCTATCCAAAGTCTTCCAGTATGATCGCACTTCCCATCATTGAAAACATGAGAAGTTCCTGGCTCAACTTCTACAATCTTCTTGATATCTGTTACTTTATCACTTTCACCATCCCATGTGGCAGTGCAAACGGAGCGATCCAAACTTACTACGAATTTGTTCTCTTTGCCCTTTACTGGTATCACCATGGAAACGTTACCACCTCCTGAAAATTCAGGTGATTCAAACTAATAAAATAGCGCCTATATTTTCAGAGCATCCAAAATTGACATAAAAGCTTGCCATACTTTTTGATTCATATACAGGGTGTTTCAGTTTATTGTTGCATAACTTTAAGAATCGATAGAACTTTTAAAATTAATGCATAAAGTCTATATAAACATGGGTCGAAAAATGCGTGGCTTCCGATATACAGGGTGTTTAAATTTACTTTCTAAAATAGTTTTTTTTAAATATTTCGAACAATATTTGATGTATAACAGTGAAAATTGGTATACAAGAGTTTTTTGGCACGACAAAACGAACCAAGGGCATAGTTTTACTGTAGCCGCTAGAGGGCGCGCTCTACTGTACCTGTAGTGTATTAAAATTACCGAAAAATTTTTCTTAGTGCAATTTTTTGCTTTTTGAATAAAAAAACTGATTCTTCGCACTTTTCAAGATAAAAAAGCTCTCTTGTGAATTTTCGTTATAGTTAGCCGTTTTTGAGATATTTCGATTTTTAAGGTTCGATGCATTTTTAATTATTTATGATAAAATAACGTTAAAAAGTCAGTATCTCGATAATTTTTAGAAGTAGGCTGTGCCTGCAAATATTTTTGAAATTGAAAGTATGCAGTTCGGGAAAGAAATTTTCAGCATGAATTTAGTGTGAATGTGTGGATTGGTATCTACCGTAATCTACTATTTGGACCCTACCTTTTGCCTGCAAGGTTAAATGCTGCGACCTTCTTGGAATTTTTAAAGGCTGAACATGCAAATATGTGGGATGATGTTATGTCAGATTTAAGAAGATTGGCCTGGTTCCAGCTTGATGGGTGTCCAGCTCATTATTCGAGAATAGTTAGAAACTGGCTGGATGAAAATTATCCAGAAAGATGGATCGGCCGTGGAGGACCAGTCGCCTGGCCTCCACGATCCCCTGACCTAAATCCATTAGATTTCTTTGTGTGGGGATTTCTAAAAGGAAAAGTGTACCAGACTCCCGTAACCACAAGAGATATAAATTTTCAGCATGAATTTAGTGTGAATGTGTGGATTGGTATCTACCGTAATCTACTATTTGGACCCTACCTTTTGCCTGCAAGGTTAAATGTTGCGACCTTCTTGGAATTTTTAAAGGCTGAACATGCAAATATGTGGGATGATGTTATGTCAGATTTAAGAAGATTGGCCTGGTTCCAGCTTGATGGGTGTCCAGCTCATTATTCGAGAATAGTTAGAAACTGGCTGGATGAAAATTATCCAGAAAGATGGATCGGCCGTGGAGGACCAGTCGCCTGGCCTCCACGATCCCCTGACCTAAATCCATTAGATTTCTTTGTGTGGGGATTTCTAAAAGGAAAAGTGTACCAGACTCCCGTAACCACAAGAGATATGCTAATAGACAGAATCAGGAATGCATGTGATGAAATAAGGCCTTATTTGAATAATGCTATACCACGTTCGATCATTCGTAGATGTGAATTGTGTATTGAACAATTGGGTTTACCTTTCGAGCAACTACTTTAGATTTTGTATGTTTGTCCTAACTATCCAATAGCATTTTAGTTGTAAATAATTAAATTTGTTAAAAATAATATTGGAAAATTAAACAAATTATTATGCTGTTTTTTGTGTTTATTTGGAGTTAGGAATTATTGCTGTGTTTAAAAACACAATCTAAACGATCATCTTAATTACTTGTAATGCCTAAATCGAAAATGTAAAAAAAATATTATTTTCCCATAAATCTGTCTACCCAACACGGAAAAACATGGCAAGGGGTCTACGACACACAAAAGTTTGGGGAACTCTGGTCTAGCTGATAGCCAAAGGTTCAAATGTGACGTTGACATCTATATAATATTGTCTATCAGCCTACACACGAAAGTACAGAATGATTTATGCCAAAAGTATGTCTGTTTACGGTACTATCATGGTGCTGCCCTAGGAAATGCTCGAGCAGCTGCTCGCATGTATCGGGAGTATGTGGTTAGAATAGGTGGACCCCAATAGGCGGTATATCCCGACTACCGCGTTTTTCTACGCGTCCATAATAAGTGTATGGAGGGCCGCATACTAGACACTCATCGTCAGCTAGGAACGCGGAGGATACATCGAGACGAAATAGAAGATATACTACAAGCAGCCGAGAGATATCCCTCTATAAGCGCCATAGCCATTGCCCGAATTGTAGGTGGTAAGAATTCTATTGCGTTTCTTACGTTTATCGCATCACAACAACGAATGTGACATGATCACTCATCGTAGCAAGCTGAAAATTTCAGGATTTATTCTAAAGGGTTGTCCAATAGGGACACAGGAAAGTAAACGTCAATTTGACATAGACGCCATCTTTGTTTTCTGTCACCGACATGTCATTTTGTTAGTTGAATGTTTACCATTGATCGCTATGGAGTCGTATTCGATTGAAGACCGCATTAAAGTTATTCAAGAGCACTACAAAAATGGTGCAAAAATAAAAAACACGTTTCGCGCGCTTCGTGAACATTTCGGTCGCAACAACCGCCCAAACGAAACAACCATCGGTCGTCTGGTGCGTAAATTCGAGGCAACAGGTTCTGTGGCAAATCTGCCAGGCTCTGGCCGGCCAAGGAGCGTTCGCACACCGGAAAATATTGCTGTTGTGAAGGAGAGTGTGAGAGACGATCCGAAACAATCACCAACGCGTCGATCCCAAGAATTGGGCATTTCGAGAACCAGTTTGCTCCGCATTCTCCACAAGATCCAATTGACGCAAGAGTTGCGTCGGGCCGACCATTTTTCGCGCCGAACGTTCTCAGATTGGCTCCTTGAACACCGCCAAATTGATGCCAATTTTTCATCAAAAATCATGTTCAGCGACGAAGCGCATTTCATTTTGAATGGGACGGTAAACAAGCAAAACTGCCGCATCTGGGCGAACGAAAATCCCCGTGAGTATCAAGAGCAGCCGATGCATCCTCAAAAAGTGACTGTGTGGTGTGCATTGTGGTCAAAAGGCATCATCGGACCTTACTTTTTCGAAAATGCGGCCGGGGACGCCGTTACCGTCAATTCTGAGCGATATCACGTGATGATAGAGGACTATTTTTTGCCGCAACTTGAAGGAATGGATATGGACGATGTTTATTTCCAACAAGACGGTGCAACATGCCACACAACCAACGTCAATATCCATCGATTGCAGTCCTTCTTCGGTGATGTGCTATGGCCACCAAGATCGTGCGATTTGACTCCCTTGGACTTCTTTTTATGGGGATATTTGAAAAGCAAAGTCTACGTCAACAAACCAGCCACCCTCCAAGAACTCAAAAACAACATCATTGCCGAGATAAATGGATTGAAATAGTTCTTACAATAAAATGAATAATGATATACAACCTCAATTTTTTACTGCCTTCCAAAGTTGAGGGATGGAAGAAATTTTTCACAAAAAAATGAATTTAAGATTTCTTGTGTTGATTTCTAATTAGCTATGTTAAAAAGTGACATAACCATTGCTAAGACTAACCATTTAGCTCATCTACTACTTTAGACCCTGTATACATCCGAGATAACATCATGTTATTCTGGCTCACCCTGTATATTGGTTATCGTGTTAGTTCAAAATATTTGGCTTGACTGTGACTGAGGCGGATATATGGTGAAACATACTAGCAAAGTGAAAATATCGGAAAAAATATCTCGATCTAATTATTAAATAATTATTATCAACTCACCGACATAAGCTTTCGTATGCTTTTTCGTCCTGGGATCATACTTATGTATATTCTCCTCCACCATACCGCAAAAATACAGGCACTTTTTCTTCTGGTCCCAAAAGGGTCCTTCGCCCAGCTTCAAAGACTCCGTCAGTTTTTCGATCTTTGGTGCCATTTTCAAACTGAACGCTGACTGTGTATTGACAATTCGTGCTTGTTGTTTGTTCGTTTAATAATAATATGGCTTATTTCCGTTTACCCAGTATCCTTTATATGCAGTCGGTCGTTAGCAACTCGTATTATGAAAGGCAGATAAGATTAAAATAATAGTATTAGGATTGTTTTTAACAAATACACAGCATACGGATTGTTCTTATCTTATGCAATGAAGGAGGGGTCACGTCGTATGATTTTTCTGATGGTGCTAATAATTATAATTGGCATTTATCATTTTGATTGGCAAAGGAATATACTGAGCCATGACGATATTTCTCTATGCCGATTGGGGCTGACTCTAGACTGACAAAGTTGTATTTTTAATGCCGATTTTTCTTTTGCAGTGGAGCTAATAGTGGCTTTTCTTTGGCCTATAAACAAGTTGTGCAACTTTAGGGTTTCTACTTCACTTTTTTTTTATAAGAAAACTTACCTTGCAAGTGCTAAATCCCAGTTTGTGGGCCTTTCTATGACTTGTGGACCTCGAAATTCTCCTTCCAACAGCGTCACTCCACACAGCACAATTGTAAATAATTGGCACGCCTGTTTTTCACGATTATTCTTCTTAATGCTCTTCGGTCGGCATTTGTGATATTACTTTTTTTCACATATCGTGACTTATTATTAACTGAACCAGTTACGTTATATCTTCTAACAATATTTTTCACACTGTACCGCGATAAGTCTAACAAAGTTGCAATTTCTGAGTTTGATCTCCCAGAATAAAAAATTTTTATTATCAGTAACCGAATTTTCTCACTAATAACCTTTCCTCTACCCATTTTGAAAACCTTAACTACCCAAAACTATTTTAAACGTATTCTGACAGCTGTGATTAATAAAAAAAATTGTCATGGCTTTTATTTTTCACAGCCACCTATGCGTTATAGACTTATTTTGCATTGAAATGAAAATAGGTTGATATGCTGTAATTGCAACATATTTTTATGCTGCAAATTTGATTATGGAGTGATAAAGTTGGTGTTTTCTACTATATATTATCAAAATATTCATTGTTAATATTTTAAACCTATAACACCCTGCTACATTTTTATTATCTGTGTTTGATAAGAAAAAAACTAAGATTTCAATAGTTGGGCCAACTGAAGTGGGAAGGGGCTCGTAGAGTTGGTAACACTTCAATCACAACGATTGACCAGGTTTTTACTAATTACGGTTACTGTGTAGTGGGCAATGTTATATCGGATCACAGTACAATACTCTTGGAAATGATGGAAGATACGGCAAGTAGTAATAGGACCACATACACACTAATTCTCACTTCATACAAAATTTTCCTCTAGACTTGTCCACAATGTGCCGTATAGATGTTGGCGTTCCACACGGATCTGTGTTGTGGTCTGTTCTGTTTGCATTATATGTAAATAGCCTTGAGCACACTTTACCTTATACGCGGACGACACATCGATTATTCTATCAAATAAAGATGAGGCTATCCTAATTAACGACTGTCACAGCTTGTTACATAGCATCAATAACTGTGAAAAAACAACAGCCATAGGATTCCACAATGCCCAAAAATCAATACCTGCACTGCAGCTTACATTGGATAATTCAGCCCTGCCCATCAGTAAGAGCACAACATTCTTGGAACTGAACCTGGAAGAGTGCCTCAATTTTAAAGGACATTATGACTACCTGCCTGCAAAGCTATCACAGTTATATCGAGTCGCCAATGCGGTATGCATTGTGTGTCTGGGGCTCCTCGGTGAATGCTTCAAAGGTATTTTGAAGTCAAAAGAGAATAATAATGTGCACAGCAAGTGTTGACAGTATATACAGTTGCAGAGACTTGTTCCTGAAATTAAAAAGTCCAACACTGCCCTCACTGTTTCTGTATGAAATGGCGATATACAGGGTGTTCCATAATTATTGCGACAAAATGATAGGGGTTGTAGAGGGCATCAAAATGAACAATTTTTCCTTATAAACCCCTGTTCGGAAATATGCCGTTTGGGCTGCAGCAAAAAAAAAAGATCAGTTTCTTGAAACAGCTTACCTACAGTAATTGCTCAAAGTGTCCTCCACCTTGCTCAATACACAGCTGTGCACGATTGTTCAATGATCGGCGAACTCTGTGGCATACCCCCGGTATGTCCTGAACATGTGCGGACGCGGCCATCACTCTTCCCAGTAGCTCTTGTTGGTTGGGAACAGGAGTTTCGTACACTAAAGCTTTCAGATAGCTCCAGATAAAATAATCCAGTGGGGTCAGGTCAAGTGACCGCGCAGGCCAAGGCACAGGGCCACCTCGGCCTATCCACCTATTTGGAAATTTGTCGTCCAAATACTGCCGCACTTGTAAAGAAAAGTGGGCTGGACCGCCATGGTGTTGAAACCACATGTTGGCTCTTATATTCAGTGGCACATTTTGTAATAGTTCCGGTAGCACGTGCTGTAAGGATCGACCATAAGCATGCCCATCCAAACGTGGTGAAAGCAGATATGGCCCGATGATATGCTCGTCCACAATGCCGCACCAGATGTTAATTGAAAACTGATGTTGGTCTCTATGGTTGGCTATGGCATGAGGGTTTTCTTCATCCCAAATGTGACTGTTATGGCTATTAAAATAACCGTCCTTTGTAAAACAGCACTCGTCAGTGAACAAAACGTAGCGACCAAAGTTTGGTTGCCTCAACTCCTGCTGCAGCCACCAACGACAAAAACGTCGACGCGGCAGATAGTCTGCTGGACCCATGGCTTGGACTTTTAAAAGGTGGTACGGGTGTACGATAACAAAAATGTAAACACAGCAGGCTTTTTTTACAAACCGGTGAGACCATGAAATGTGCTAGACGAACATTTTGCTGCTGGTGAATTTTTTGTTTCTCCTATGAGCTCTTAAGGTAAAATTAACTGTAGTGCTCAAACGGCATATTTACGAACAGGGGTTTATAAGGCAAAATTGCATATTTTTATGCCCTCTACAACCCCTATCATTTTGTCGCAATAATTATGGAACACCCTGTATATGTACTCGTATATTAACAGAGATAATTTCACTTTGAATAGTAATATACATACATAAGCTATGTAGTAGATCTACCTCTGTTTTCGGACCAAAACTATTCAATAAACTGCGTGAGTATATTAAGGCAATTAGCTCTTTAAATAAGTTCAAAGCTGAGTTGAAAACCTACTGTATTCATAAGACTTGCTATACCATCAGCGACTTTGTGGATATTTGTTTGTTATCCACTTATTGTTTGTCCTTTTATATATTTTTATATTGTATTTCTCTTAATTTATTGATTTTAATTGCTGGAAAGCTAATCTATTTTATCTGCTATTTTTTGCCTATCTAATTTAAGCTATTGTTTGTTGTTGCTTGTCATTTTATTGTTTGTTTCTATTATGTACACACATACTGTAAATTGTTTGCTGATGAACCCTATACATGTTTTATATATGTCTAATGGGTAATAAATATTATTATTAATATTATTCATTGTGATGTGCTCGTCTTTACGATGGTTTTTCAACCTTCTTCCGGGCCTAAACCAAGGATAGAAGTGTTTTATGAGGTGTTATTTTCATCGCCAAGAACCCTACGCACTATCCTGCAAGTTCCTAATAGCACTGCTTTCTGAAGCTGAATATACAGAGTGTTTCAGTTTATTATTGCATAACTTTAAGATTCGATAGAACTTTTAAAATTAATGCATAAAGTCTATATAAACATGGGTCGAAAAATGCGTGGCTTCCGAAATACAGGGTGTTTAAATTTACTTTTTAAAATAGTTTTTTTTAAATATTTCGAACAATATTTGATGTATAACAGTGAAAATTGGTATACAAGGGTTTTTTGGTACGACAAAACGAACCATGGGCATAGTTTTACTGTAGCCGCTAGAGGGCGCTCTCTACTGTACTAGTAGTGTATTAAAATGACCGAAAAATTTTTCTTAGTGCAATTTTTTGCTTTTTGAATAAAAAAAATTATTCTTCGCACTTTTTTGCATAAAAAAGCTCTCCTGTGAGTTTTCGTTATAGTTAGCCGTTTTTGAGATATTTCGATTTTAAAGGTTCGATGCATTTTTAATTATTTATAGGAAAATAATATTTTTTTTTCCATTTTCGATTTGTGCATTACAAGTAATTAATAGGATCGTTTAGATTGTGTTTTTAAACACAGCAATAATTCCTAACTCCCAATAAACACAAAAAAACAGAATATTAATTTGTTTAATTTTCCAATATTATTTTTAACAAATTAAATTAATTATTTACAACTAAAATGCTATTGGATAGTTAAGACAAACATACAAAATCTGAATGTGAACCCAATTGTTTAATACACAATTCACATCTACAAATGATCGAACGTGGTATAGCATTATTCAAATAAGGCCTTATTTCATCACATGCATTCCTGATTCTGTCTATTAGCATATCTCTTATGGTTACGGGAGTCTGGTACACTTTTTCTTTTAGAAATCCCCACACAAAGAAATCTAATGGATTTAGGTCAGAGGATCGTGGAGGCCAGGCGACTGGTCCTCCACGGCCGATCCATCTTTCTGGATAATTTTTGTCCAGCCAGTTTCTAACTATTCTCGAATAATGAGCTGGACAACCATCAAGCTGGAACCAGGCCAATCTTCTTAAATCTAACATAACATCATCCCACATATTTGCATGTTCAGCCTTTAAAAATTCCAAGAAGGTCGCAGCATTTAACCTTGCAGGCAAAAGGTAGGGTCCAAATAGTCGATTACGGTAGATACCAATCCACACGTTCACACTAAATTCATGCTGAAAATTTCTTTCCCGAACTGCATGCGGATTTTCATGCGACCAAATATGTTGATTATGAAAATTTAGCACTCCACGTCTAGTGAAGCATGACTCATCGGTCCATAAAACGTTACTTAAAAACTCCCTATTATTATCAGTTCTATCAAGAATCCACTGACAAAATGTGATTCTTCGTTCTCCGTCCCCTGGCTGTAGTCCTTGCACGGGTTGCAAATGGTAAGATCGTCTATGGTCATTTCTAAGAACACGGTGAACATGGCTTGCGAAAATTCCCAAGGCACCAGAAACTCTCCTAACACTTGTGGTCGGATCTCGATCAAACTCACGTAGAATCATACGGGTAAATCTGCGCTGACGAACATTTATGTTTTGATCCCTTTGGAGATTTCCAAAACCATTTTCAATTATTTGGCGATGCACTCTTACAAATACTGAGCAAGTTGGATGACGTCTGTTTGGAAATCTTCGTGCGTATTATCTGGCTGCTTCTGCTGCGTTTCCATTTACAAAGCCATACACAAAATGAATATCCGCTAACTCTTGATTGGAGAATAAAAATGGCATTTTTATAAAACTTACAGAAAAAAAAGCAGATAAAAGAAACTAAATTTCGTGCATTCACAATTGCAAAAAAACGTTTCAGGTTTCAACAGACAAAACTAACTGTCAACTAATTGACGTTTAACCTTATTCTGCTTTCAATTTCAAAAATATTTGCAAGCACAGCCTACTT